GTGTGGAATGGGCTTCCACAAGAGGTCGTTGAGGCCCCATCGGTGAGAGTGTTCAAAGATAGGCTAGACATGCACATGGCGGGCATGTCGTGAGTGGAGCTGGCTGGAGCCGGGGGTCAGACTAGATGGCCTGGGAGACCCCTTCTGACTCACTCTATTTCTATGTTTCTATGTTACCCAAATACAACTGTCTGGGGACAGATCAATTATGCATAAGAGAACACAGCTAGCACAAAATACCCATCCACAAGAGATTAGTTACATAATCCTAAGTACAGATCCAACATCATCAAGTGTCCTAGTCAGGCATTCTCCTACATGGCATTCCCACAAAGGGAAGGGCCCCATTCCCCCTGACAGCTATGTACTAGGAAACATGTTTACAAAGGGGTGGCCATGCTATGCATGGGGCCTCCCATGATGACATGGAACTCTGACTATGCATGCCTCCATTTCACAGTAGTCTATGCACAGGCTCTCCATCAATATAAAAAGGCATGCAATTGAAATAATTGCATTAGGCGGTAAACCTGAGTAAAGTTGATCTCCCTATGTGCTGTAAACTTCACTTTGAACATTTAGTGGAAGAAGACTGAAGGTGAACATTCTTCCACTAAATGTTTCTGAACCTCAGATTTTGAGTATTAAGTAAATTCTTCTCCCGTTCTTTGTACACTCCATAGCCAACTACAGGTATATGTAAATACTGCATGATACTAAGAAACATGAACATAATCATAGATAAAGCCTATCCTTACCACAAGTTGAGGAATTTATCTTCTAATGTAAAATCCAGTGCATCTAGCTAAAAATTCTAACTTTTTCCATAAAAGCACAGACACAGAATGGGAAGCATAACCATAGACAACTTTTCATGACTACCTCTTTTAGCTGAGGCCAGGGAAGAACTTCCTGGACTTATCCCATGGATTCTGGCATCCATTTCACTGCTTCTGCCTATTTCCAGCTAACATTTGATGTTCTAGTCCTCTTCCTCTTATAGTCTTAAGATCTTATGTGGCCTGAGTGGAATCATTAAAATATTATCATAAGCGGATGCTACCTCCATTACAAATAAATAAGTAAATATTGTTTAAAATTGCATTTGAGTGAACAATGTGGTTTTGTCCGCCCATGGTGAAGTTGCAAAATTATTTGTAGATATCATGTTGTGTAGACAAGTTTTCCACTGTTTAAAAATTACAGTGTATTTGTGTCCCTCCACACAGGAACACCAACAACCTATTAGTATAAACACTGCAGGGCAAAAATAGTAAGATAAAAGTTAAACTTGGATGAGGAAATCCACATTGGAAAAGCATGAATCCTCACAGATATTTTTCTAGTGTATTTTTTTCTGGAAATATCCCAGACACATTTCTTCAATCCCTCTGTACCTTTTAACACAAATCTTGACTATTGATGCTGCTTACATGTTTCTTTGAAATGTGATTATGAGAAATTAATTTAACATCAAAATATTAAGCAGCTAGTTATAACTTTAAAAGTATTTTAGGTGACCCTTTAGGAGACAACTTAACAGCTCTTACCAATCTGTTTCTGCTTCCCAAAAATCTTCCAGACCATGGACGATCAAGTGTTCCTGAGTAACGAGTTGGAGATGAAGCTGGAAGCTTCCATGGGCTTTCATATACTTCACTTTCTCCAATTGCCCAGTCTCTGCTGGAACTATGCAACCGGCTAGATTCCTACAAAGCAAGATATTTATTTCAGCCTTCTGTTCAAGTCATTATACCTTACAATTAAGTCTAATAAGCAACATTTGCTACATTTAATCTAAAACATCAAAATGTTAAAGAGATTTATATTCTTGGACTGCTACCAAAATATTACAGAGCTTATTTTCTTATTTATGCACTATCAAAATCAAGAAATATGACATTTTTCTACCTGTTAGAATGGGCATTCTAGATACAGATATAGCATTATCTTAAAAAGTTGATAAGAAATGGTCACCATAGAAAGAACTCTGCTTTCATTCACCTATGTCTCAAGTAAGATCAGAGCTATACAAAGAATGGAGAGAAATGCAGACATTTTGCTCAGGAAGTAAGGACTTCTTCCCTTGCAGTAGTGCCCTATGTTAGCAAGACTAGAAATGATATGTAGCAAGGAGGGGGAGAAATAAGAGCTGGACCATCTCTAAGATCATTAGTTCTTTAACATCTTAATTTTCTATTAGGGCAGAATTCATCCTTCTTAATTGAAGAATTTATCATCAAGGTAACTACTGGTCATGGCCTGTTTAAATATACTAGGTATGTTTACACTCAGCAACACATATAAACAGTGTTACTGCTACCTGCAATGTTAGCTGCCAGGGATCTGTGACTGGGAATGCAATGATGCACCTGAGACTTAAAGCAGTAACCAACAGGGGCATTCTACATTCAAATAGTAATAGCAGCGCTCCACTGAATCATTCAGCCGTACATATTATGCCAGTAGAACACACTGCAGTATCTGATGATCCACACTCATAAAAGTGGTTGCACTCATCTAATTTTAGTTGGATTCTCTCCTTCTGCATAGTTCAGCATCTAGTTTACACAAATAAAATTCAGTATTATGGAACAAGTAATATCAATATAGCCAACAACATGTTTAAAATGGACTTGAGGAACAGTTTGTTGGGAAAATGAAGATTCTAAAAGAATTATCTTTCATAATGATATTTTAAAAATTTGCAAAAGATTTTTGCAAGTGAGGAATCCAATACAGCAATAATAGCTACGAATCTTCCTTTGTTCCTTGTATTTTGGCATTTCTGAAGCCTTCAAATAGAAGATAGTAAAAGGAGAAGCTCTGCCTGATTCGTAATTCATATAGCTCAGTCTTGTTATTTCTTGTATTCAGAACAAATATTCTCAGCTATTCTACCCATTTAAATTTTATAGTTTCTCATTCAGTTACTCAGCAGTTTAACAGTTCTAATCTGCTTTTCTACATCATTTGAAGGTCCCAAGGGCAGTTATTATAAAGCATTATTTTGTTTTCTATGAGTCTGTGGAAAAATGTCAACACAGTAAGTATCATAAGACAGATGGCAGATAATGTAAGGAACCCTTATATAAACCTAGCTCCCATAGCACTATCAGTCTGTAAATTCCAGGCCAAACTCATTTGCTCATTTGATAGTTGCTTTTGACCCGGGTAACCTTACAAATTTTGGGATCAACATGCCTGAGAAACTTTATCTCGCTATCTTAGCACATATACCAATGAGCTATATCCCTTGCGCCTGTTCAGAACACTGATGTCTAGCAACAGAACATTACCCCTGTAACCTGTAGGTTTTGGAATTATCTGACCACTGCTCTCTGTAGGAAACATAAAAACTTTCTATTTCTACTTATATTTGGCCATAATTTCTAATGATTGATGTTATTTCTATTTTCTTCTTTAAGCACTTTGTGAAAATGGATGTAAATGTTTATATACACATTTAATTTTGAGCTACAACAATATTACTAAGACCTCAATTCTTATTCCTGCTTACTGTTAAGAACCACTGAGCTCACCAAATTGCATATATTAGGAGGGCAGCCCAAGTTAAAGAATCTTCTAAGTAAACTTTATCCAGTATTCCAGCTATTGAATGAATGCAATCCATTTTACAAGCAGCACATGTAAGGCATTCTTACATACATTTCAACAGAAAAAATGCCTACTTATATAATCTACTGCAATTGTACTGAGAAAAGCAGCAGAGAGAAGAGTTACAAATCCCTTCCAAATCATTTCATAGGTCAGTCTTACAGAGTGGTACCAAAGCTAAAAGTAGCTACATGAAGTATATCTATTTTTAGATACTTAATTCTGCTAAACGTCCAAAAACGCAAGCTAGCACACAACACACTTGGTTCTCTCAGTGAGGCCCTGTATACCTCTTCAATAGAAACCATTAGAAACCATTCCTTCTAAGACAATGCTTCTACACTACATAATCTTCATAAAACTAACATAGCTTGACACCGAGAAACTTGACAGAAGAGAAAGTACTGAACGGAGCACACAAACAAGAGCTAAGGAAAAATGCCAAAGTTGCAGAAATTACACAATTATATACACTATTATCAAAGATCAAACATGCACTACAGTACTGCATTTGCTCCACAGAAAGTCTACTATTGGGAGTACATCCATAATTATTGTAAGTATGTGAGAAAAGAAGAGGAAGAAAAAGAGCCTGTACATGGTAGGAATGTAATGGCCAGAGGTGTTACACTGCACACAAGAGATGCACTGCATCTCTCAGTGGAGGCTGGATAATCCAGCATTGGGGAGACAAGAGAAGCAATGCTGCAATCATACTAAAATGCAGCACTTTTTAGAATGCAAGCAAATGATGGCCAATTAGAATGCGAGCAAATTGGAATGCGAGCAAATGATGGCCATTCTGGAAGGGGCTAGGTAAGACTGCCACATGGCACAAACAACATAAAAGTTAGAGGCAGAAGGAAAGAGGTTTTCCCCTTTCCCCAAAGTCAGGTGGTTTGAAGTCCCATTCACTTTGCCTCTGATAATTCACTGAGAACTGAAATAATTTCTAGTTGCAAAGCCTTGTCTCAGAGGGATGGATACATGCATTTAGCAGCTGCAGAAGCAAACCTCACCTCCCTGTACTCCTACGTTGTGCTTTCTACTAGCTGGAACCACTGGGAGTGGGAGAGGAGGTAGCTGGAGAGATGACAGGATGGCTCGTTATCATGGCCTCTCCTCCCCTGAAACACCCGTCTTATCCCCCTCTCCATGATTGCATTCCTAACCTCAGAGGCCGGCTGGCATGATTCGGCCCGCAACAGCTGTGCGGGGGTGGGGGAGGGACAGAGTTCCAATTCCCAACTCTAAGGTTAGAGCACTGTTTCCATCCTGTGATATGAAAATCCAAACTAGCCTATAGCCCCTAACATATTTACTTTTTTCAGAGCAAGAAGGTAGAAGCGTTCATGACCAATTTATCTTCATTTAACTACTACTAAAATTAGACTGCATTAAAAGAAAATAATATTAAAAAAGGGAACTAAGGAGCAATTTACATCTGTAATTCACAACAATGAAATGTATCCTATGGAAGTTTAAGCCGCACTTATTCAAGTGGCAGAACTGGGAGTTGTAGGGCTTTTTTCTCTCTAAATGTACACAAGACCACTCCCTTAATAATGCAATTTCTCATAAACTACTTAAGGGAGAATGATAGGGGGAAGAAAAGAAGATAAACATTATTCTGCATGTTTGATATAACCAAGCTGACACTTAGAAGCTGAAGATGGATGCAGCATATACGACTGCAAACATAAATTTACCTGGCATCCAGATTCCGGTCTCAATGAAGACTCTCTCATATGATATGAGTCAGTTATGTTGGTTCCTCCACTTCCAGTTCCTGTCCTAACACTTCGAGAACTGGATGGCTGAACAGATACCCGCCGTGGAATTCTTGACGGTTTTGATTCCATTTTCTATATACTGTGAAACAAATATTCAGATTTTCCAATCAGATGAAAAAATGCCAGTGTACATGGGACCCTAGCATGCTAACATTTCCACCAAGCGGCAAGAAAATATAGTTTCAATGAGATATTGATGCAGGCACATGCGAATTCTTCTTTGTTACATCAGCATCACTAAAATGATGCCAAGTTCCACTTTTCTATTTTTAAAAGTATATTCTTGCCTCTTTGTTCCTATTACTCCTTACCCTTGACTTTTTGGAAGTTGCAAGTTATGCTTCTATGACTGCACACAGATTCAGTCAAGAGAGAAAAAAAGTTTTATCAGGCAGCCTTCCCTAAGTTGAACATACTGTGTTGCTGCATAACCAGTTCCTTCCTTTTTCTAGCTTCAGAATGTTTCTCATTCTTGCATTTTCCGTACCTACATAACATTCATTTCAATGGCTATGGCATAATGTTGTTTTATTAAATGATATATTTATTATCACAGTGTATGGAGGTGAAATCATGGGATCAGATGTTCCTAAATATACCAAAATGACTTCCTTTCCCCTTAAAAGATAAACTGGTTAGTGTAAGTTACATGAGAATGACAGAAAGGGCAAGGAAAGAGCCACTATGTCAGAAAAATATAGTGTACTCAAAGTTTCACATTAAAAATGGTTAAGGTTACTTTGTTAAAAGTTTTTAGTTCAGTCTGTGCATTTATCAGGCATTCAACACACTGTGATTTGCTGTAAGAAATTCCCAAATACAGTGTTTTTCTTTTAAGGTTTCCTTCTGCAAAAATCCAGATTTAAACTTTTTCCATCTACGTTAACTTTGAACTGGGATACTTATATCTTACCATATCTTTTCAGTGCTGCCACTAAAAAAAAGTGTATGCCTTTGTCCTTTTTTTGTTTTGTTCCTGTCCTGCCACTGACATCATCTATCAAAGGTAGATACCTTGAGGCATATTAGTTTACAATCCCATCTTTTTTCATGCTAGATAATGCTGATAGGAGTTGGGGACTTCCACATTTTGCTCTACAAGTTGCCCACTAACACACTGCAGAAGTAACCTATTCAAGAATATTACATCTACCCATTTCACTGAAATTAGTAGCAGAGTACTTCAAGCACTAAGTGATCTGCAAAGTTCTTTAAGGGCAGAATGTTACGCATATTCAAACAGAAAAAAATCCTACAGAACAGTTCCCTTGTCAACCAAGAAAGTCTGAGAATGCAGAGAGTTGTAGAATTATTTTCCACCTAAGCATGTATAGGAATGCAACTCATGTATACCTGAAAGCATCGTTAGAAGTACACTGTCCTTGATTTATTTTATTAACATTTGCACTGATTAGACAAATGCTATAGTTTAATCATCACATAAATCAAACTGATTATCACTGATAATTAACATTTAAAGAAAACCCATGTCTTTTAAAAGAACAGTCTGGTAAATCAGACTAAAGCCCTTGCAGGCCAGCATCCTGTTCCAACAGTAGCCAGCCCTGACTATTCATATGCAGCATGATGGCTATGCTGTCCACCTTGCCTCCAAAAAGCATACTGCTTCTCTCCATGGAGAATCCATTTTGCTATCACACCCCAGTGTCACTGAAAAACCAACCGTCTCTGAAGTTCATCTCATTTTTTAATGAGTCCTGACTGCTAACACAGTTTCCTGATGGACTCCTGTGTTGCCTTCCACCCCTTATTGAAATGGCCTTCTATTCTTGCCTCTGTTTACTTTTTTTTATCCATTACTGCTGACGTTTTCTTAAGAAACTTTCCTTTAACAGAGTTTACACCTGTCTTCATGCTATCTTAATGAATTCTAAGAAGAGCTTATTCGTGTGATCGCATAAATGCAGAGAGACTCATTCTTTTAAATGGTGCCTGATCATAAGGGTATGTCTTAATCAAGTTTCTTAAAAGACGTTCATTTAAATTATGAGAGCCAAGCAATGCTGAACATTGTACTAACTGTTTTATTTCCTTTCTGTAGAAATAAAAATCTAATGAGAAAAATACATTTGAATCATGATATATGTGGATAGAGTTGTAAAATGTTTCTACAGGGCAAAATTAACAAGTATCAACTTAAAAGGAAATCCTGCCGGCAATGTAATCATATCTGCATGCTGGAAATGTATAACTTGGGATCTCAGCAGCCTGCATTAACAAAGACCTGTTTGTATTTTTTTATCATATTTATATCCCAACTTTCTTCCTTTAAGGTACTCATAATCCTTACACAATCCTCCTCCTCCTCCCAATAACCCTAAGAGGTAAGTTAGGCTGCGAGTCAGTGACAGGCCCAAAGCCATCCAGTGAGCTTCACAGCTGAGCAGGGAGTAGAACCTAGATCTCCCAGATCCCAGTCTAACCTTTATGCTATACTAACTTTCATAAAGGTTTTTCAGAATCCAATTCAACATAGTGAATAAGGAGAAAGGGGAAGCAAGACTGAGTAGGTTTGTATGCCATGACAATCCACTGTGGGTGATAAGTCAGTGTGTTGTCATACTTTGCATATGTGGTCCACTTTCTGTAAGAGTACTTGTTTGAGGACAATATGCCGCCCTGACAATCTATGATTTGTTTTAGGGGTGAACCCACAATGGGCTGCTGTGTCATCCTAATCCAAGTGAGTGATGTGGGTTCTGGCAATTAGTAAGTAACCTGATCAGCAAGAGTGTCACTTTCCCCACTGTTCCTGCTGAGCTCACCCAGGCCTTCTCCAGTGGCCCAACTGACACAATGGAGCAACCATCACTATCCATGTCCCCTACTGCAACAAGACCTCATGGCATGCAGTCTCTTCCCCTTTTCTATTGGAGACTACCTTTTGCCATGTGACACATCAGCAGAGCTGTCACTGCTTCACCACTCTATTTTTTAAGTGCAAGACATTTCTACACATTTATTCACTTCTTTACTCATTACATTTTTTAGTCAAACTTGTGGAAGGACAGGTATGCAACAGATAACCTCCTTCATGGTTTTTGTTTTTGGTTAGACTTGTCTCCTTTCAGCATCCTTGTGCTTTTTCATATTTTCCTGACTCCTGCAAGCAGCCCATGAGCAGACTTCCTTTCAAAATGGGGATTTTGAAAAGGTAAATCAGGGTTGTTGTTTATGTGCCAAATGTATATGTCATTTGAAGGGGAGCCTGAATTTGACAGCTAGCTGCCTAAATTCCATGCTCCTGTTAAAGGGGTGAGTTGTGTTTTTCCATCTTCCTGAGCACCTACAATGTTGGGAAATAAAGATAAGTGCAAGGTCACTGGAAAGAGTTGCGTCCAACCCAAAAAACTGGAGGATCTCACCACAAATGGGATATCTACTTGTTAATTGCTTCCACAAGCAAAGATTACTCATGACTTTGCTTTCCTTTGACTGCTTACCCTTTTACAACTGTTAAGAGAATACAAATTTTAAAAAAGTATATTGATTTGCAGTCTTTCTAGGTCAATGCCCATAGTTTGACAACAGACACCTCCAGGACACTGTCCAGGGAAAGGCTTTCTACTTCTCACTCCTGCAAGTGCACACATGTGCAATTTCACAAGTCCAGCTTAAAAAAGCAAAAAGTGCAAAGAAAAAAGTACACTAGTGAGATTTCCTTCAATATATATCTTAAGACATTTTGGAAGAGCTGTTACTGGCTGTCACAAAAAGGAGGTTGGCTGTGGTGAATGAAAAAGTGCTTGCAATCATAGCAGGGAAAGGAAATTAAAAGTTCCCTGGGACACCAGCTAGAGAAGCAAGGGAAGAGGAATTGGGACAATTCACAGTGAATCTAATCACCTACCAGGCCTATTTTGGGTTGTTCTGTGAACAACCAAGCCATTACTGATTATGTGCAGAATGGGTTAGTATGATATGTGAACCTACTCACTGAGTTGCTGTTCCTTCATTTTCACCCAGTTATAAATTAGGGCATCTAAACAGAAACTAGACATTACACAGGAGACTTGTGTATCTGCCAGATTTGGGTATCCACCAAATTCACATACTGGCAGGAGGGTATTACAAGCGCAGTATGGACAAGAGATTGATGGCAAAAGAAGGGATGGCAGAGGATGAGGTGGCTAGATGGAGTCACTGAATCAGTTGGTGTGAGCTTAGCTGGACTCCGGAGGATGGTGGAGGACAGGAGAGCCTGGAGGAATGTCGTCCATGGGGTTGCAATGGGTTGGGCATGACTTTGGGACTAACAGAACATGGACAAGAGAACCAGAATCCACTATCCACTATTTTCCTCCTTCCAACTATTTTGTTCCACTATTTTCCTCCAATAAGACAGCACAACTGGGACAAAATCATAGAACCAGAACTCAACAGGAAAAATCAGCAAGGGAGACAGAGTTTGAAGAAAAGTGTTATTTTCTTCCCTCTTCTCGATTCACTTTTCTATAAACAGCACAAGTTGATCATGTTGTTCATTTCTCATAGTTGCAGGAAAAGGATATAATAAGCAGACTTGAAATAGGTACAGCACTACTGCAGCAAATTGAAGGAGGAGCTTATCTACAATAAGGCTGCCATGGGTGAAGGCTATAAAAACTTTCCTTCCTTTTCAGCATTTGTGTCCCAAAAGTTGTTGCAACACCAAACAATAGCAAGGATTTAGACCTAATTGCAACACATATTACCCAGTACTGAAAACATTTAAGTAAGCAGTGTTCTTCCTTTGGGACAAATCTGTACATCTGTTTTCTCCCTACTTTTGTCATTATCTTATCCAGAAATGAAGGGGCAATTTTGAGGTCCTCACCAGAATGAATGTGAATGTCCTCTTACGGAGGAGAGATAGCAGTCATGTACACACATACTGTATTTAAAGTTTTTCAACAGCTGTGACAAAAGAAGTTTGGCTATATAGTTGGGCGCAAATTTAGCTGATCTAGGATAATGGAAACACTTTAATTAAGCCACTGCACACACATTTGGGAAACAATTATTCTCTTCTTTCCCATGACAAACCCTACCATACCCATTTGCCACATTTGTCATTACTCTAACACACTTAATGAGAGTATTCCTTGAAAGTAAACTAGTTTCTCACATATTAGAATTAGCAATTAACCAGTAAGATAGCATCCTTTTTATCTTTAGGAATGGAAGAGTTATGCCAAACTTCAGTTATGATTCAGTGTGGGCTAAAGAGCTTATAATATAAAATTCTAATTAGGTGAGCAAAGAGGGAAAAGAAATGGAGCAATGAGATGTTCCACTTCTAAGTGGAACAAGGAGATTTCCATTAGCTTGTGACAAAAATGAAGCAGCTCCAAAATGTGTGTCATGCTGCCTCTCAAGACAGAGAATAACTGAGGAGGAGGAAGTCATCAACATTATATAGGATGGCTCAATCAAAACATGTTTTAGATTGATGTGATTGATATAAACATGATTGATATAAATAATCTACAATATACACTGGCAAGAGCTCATGACAGGCAAGGGACACAGCAGACTGTTCTTCAGATGATTCTAGAATACAGCTCCCAGCACACCTAGATATTGATCATGCTAACTGAAGATGATGAAAGTTAAAGTCCACACTTTCAGAGAACAACAACAAAGTACACACTTTCAGAGGCTACCAGCTGATCCGGGCTCCAACTCAGCCTTGCAGCATACTGGGTGGAATAACAATTTTCTCAGTCTAACGTAAGAAAAGGGCATAGCCCAGTGGCTGAGCACCTACTTTGCATACAGAAAGTACCAGGTTCAACCCTGGACACCCTTGGGTTGGGGAAATTTCTACATGAAACTCAGGGGAGCTGCTGCCAATCAGTGTCAACAGTACTGAGCTTGACAGACCTATGGTCTGACTCAGTATAAAGCAACTTCCTGTATTCCTAATCTATGTGAGCAAACTAAGAAACATGCTACCCTCCTTGATGTTTTTTAAAGTGACAAATAAAAATTAAAATATCTAATGTAGTAGAGTAGTAAAACAGGATGTATTTTCTCGCATACTCTCTCATTTCCTTTCATACTCTTTCTAGCCAACCTCCTTGACTGAGTACATAAAAGGTGTGTGGATAAGGAGAAATCTGAGAGATATTATTTTACAGCTATGGCGCCAAACTGCTCGACAAGGAGCTGTTTGCAAAGTCGGGTCTGTTTCTCAGAGCCTTGCCAGTGGAAAGGAAAAGGAAACTGGGCCAAGGGCTTCAGCTGAGTGAGACTGAGACACACAAATACACACACACACACACACACACACGAGAACAAGATGGAGACTCCAGCTTCAAAACTGTGACACTTGCCTCCAGCACCGACAGCCACTCCGAGGCAGCGCCGCCACCCGCACCCGCATATGCCCGCTCGCCTCCCTCTCCCTGCCCAAGACAGCACACGAGACACAACCGTTACCCGCCGCAGTGCCGCCTGACCGCCCCACCACTCTCCGTTTGTGCTTCCTCCTCCAGCTGCTGCCCGAGCTGACAATGGCGGCCGCTTAGTGCTGGAGCAATGGGCGGGGCGAGAGCCACCCAGGCCGCCTGCCAATCACCGCGCAGCCAACGGACGAGACTCGCCACGAGCAGCCGCTCCACAACCAACTCTCGCGAGACCGGCGACCACCCGTCCCAGACTGTTATCTTGAGTCTATCTGAGGGTGTCGCTGTGCTAAATTCCCGCCCGGGGGTTGCCGGGAAGGCGGAAGGTTAAAGGACCGCCTGGTGCGATTCCCACTTTCGCCCTTGGTGCTCCTGAGCGGTGACGTGCGGCGCTTGCTGGCTTTGCGCAGCTCCTAGCCTTGATGGTCCAATCTAAAAGAAAGCAGAAAAGTGTTCCTGACGTCTTTGGCTGGGACTTGCGGAGAATCAAGTTGCTAAAACTCAAGAGCCCACGTCGGCGGATCAGAATTCACATCTGAGGCTGAAACCGAGGGAGACATTGGGGAAGATCTGATTTCAGTGTCCCCGTTGGATCAGTAGTAGTAAAGCAACCACACACCTCTCTCCACTAATGTCACGATAGTTAGAGCTGGAATCCTGTGCCCACTTTATAGGGGATAAAAGTGGAACTGGACTTCTGAGAAACCCCAAGAGACTGAGTGTATTAACTTCCCAGTCAGCCAAGACAAAGTGCTTTCTCGGTCTGCTGTCCTCAATACGTGTTCGACCAGAACATGCTGGCTGTGAGTTTCCCAGAAGTCAACTGTATCTGGGGCTCACAGTTAACGCTACGTTCGCACTAGAGAGAGGTTTCCATGACTAATATATGTCTGCCTATAACATACATCTGAATCTGTCCCAGTCCAACAGCTCCCAGAGTCCTTTTAAAGGGACTAGGACCAAAGGACTCAGCTACCAAAATATTTATTTATTTATTTGGAATTTTTGTATGCCGTCCTATTCGCATAAGCCTCAGAATGGCTTCCAACATTATAAATACATATATATAAATACATGCAGGAAGATGGAAAATATCCTTTCCTTTAGAAAAAAAACTGAGGAAGTATACATTTGCACTTTTCCAAGCACCTAAAGAATTGTTTACGTTTTGACACTCAGCCTCCATTCTTTGAGATACTGGTTTGGTATCTTTCAGAGTCCACCCCATTAGATCATCAACCACCTCCTTTTTAGCACACCAACATTGCATCTTAATTAAGCATCCAAGACAAGCATAACAACCTTAAAGAATCATGTTGCATCAACTCACCTTATGATGTGGAAACAGTCAAACATGACACTATGAAATTTGTTGAGCTGACAAATAGAGTTAAAAATTCAAACAGTACAGTGCAGGAAATTAACCTAAATAAATAAATTGGGATAACTGTGTATTTTTCACTTTGTACTTAGGGATTCTTGGAATGTAAATCTGTATGCATTTTACATCCCAGCTAATCAGAGTTGAGCAAAATGTTATTGTTTATGAGTAATTAGATGCCAACTCAAGGTCACTTCCTTGACATCACATTCCTTAGAGGTTTTCATTATATTTAAGATTCACTGGGAATTGCTGACTCATGGATAGGGATTGCATGTCATGTTAAATCACCCTATGAATAAGTTCTCATGGGTTGGTTGTGCACTCACTCACCCAACAGACAAATGGATATTCTGTGGCTTGCTATGGTTTGTTTCCCTCTTGGGTCCTTCACTGCACCCTTCCAGCTCTGGCATGGATCCCAGGCATCGCTGCAGCGCAACTCCTCATCACATCTGTCCTTATATCGACACCCTTTCTGCATCTTGGCTGCTGGGCTTGCCAGCTACTGAGAAAAACTCTCCCCATCCCCAACATCAAACAATTAATTTTCTGAACCATTTGGAACACAATAAGATGTTCACAATTCCTCCCCCCAAAGGAATTGCACTCTTATACAAAAGTGTTAATTGCCTATATAACCCCCCTCTTCTCAAATGTTCTTGTCTATGCTTTTCTCCACTTCGCAATAATAACAGTGCTATATTCCACCAGGACCACAGATACATGCTAGTTAATGTAAAATAATGCATTCATTCAGGTTGCTCTACTCTCACTCCCCTTCCAGAACTGCACTGAATCTTGCGATGGCTCACACCCCTTTCCTTTATTAAAACATATTCAATAAATGGTCTCCAAATATATTCAAAATTATAGTTCCTTACTATTATTAATCTTAGTGCTATTAGTAAATTTGTCATAAATTCTTTAATATTTTGTCCCACTCATTTATTTATTTAAAACATTTCTATGCCGCCCCATTCGCCGAAGCCTTCTTTAAATAATGACAATAATGCTAGTCCAGGATCTACTTCAATATTTAAATTTAGTATTTTACTAATTTCTTTGAAAACTATTTCCCAATACTTATTTATATATTTACAGTCCCACCACATATGGAAATATGTACCATACCCACTTTCTGGTTATATCTTCAACATTCATTGGAATATTTATTATTATTCATGTAATTCAATTTAATCAGAGTTAAGTACCATTTCCAAATTAATTCATAGAAGTTTTCCTTAATTCTTAGCAACATCCATTTAAAAATTCTCTTATCCCACATATTATTCTACTCTACATTCCTAATATTTCTTCTTAGGACTCACTGGAGAAGACCCTAATGCTGGGAACGAATTGACAACAAAAGAGGAGACCCTGGAGGAATGTTGTCCATGGGGTTGCGATGGGTCGGACGTGACTTCACGAATAACATAACATAATACTTCTTAAATCTATTTCCCAAGACTCACTAAGAGGATTAATATATTATAAATTTTACTTGTCATTCCTCTAATCCACATTTTATCTTGTTCTTTCTGAATAATTATATCTTCAGATTTAGTATATTCCCCACATTTAACATTTTTCTTCAACCAAACTTTAGTCCATCGGTCTAATCGTAGTACATTATACCAAGTTACATTACCCTCTCCTAATATTGCCCGTATCTTTTCTCTGCTGTTAATTTTCTCTACCAGTCTTTCAATCTAATAATATTTTTACTGTTCAGTAATTCCCCCAAACTACTCCTCAAATTCTCTGGAAATCTGGAAGAGAGTGGATCGGGCTGGCAACCTTGCAAGAGCTCACCCTAGCATGCCTTGTGCTGTTCCAGCTGATGAGCTCAAAGGCACACAAGAGCTGAGTGCCTTTGCACTCATCAGCAAGAGTGGGCGGGGCATGCTGGGAAGAGTTCATTGGCTCAGGTACAAGAGGCTCAGTGTGCCAATTCTGAGAAGGTAAGAGAGGCCAAGGGGTCACATGGGGGGGGGGTTTCTGGGCAGGTGAAATAGGGAAGAAAAGGATGAGCCACCACAGAGGAGTAGTCATGCAGAGATCACAGAACAATCTCTGCAGAGATCACAGGCCCACAAAGCATTCTTTCCCATTTATTTAGTTATTTATTTAGTTATTTATTTATTATTTAAACTATTTCTATGCCACCCCATTCGCAAAAAGCCTCGGGGTGGCTTACAACATTAATAAATAAACATAAATAAACAGTTATATCATTAGACTTTAAAAAAAACGGAAATATCTCGGCACGTACACAAAAACCCAATAAATACAGTTCATAAATTAACAATTAAAATAACTTTTAAATAAAAAGGTCTTGGCCTGGTGCCGAAAAACAAATAACGACGGCGCCAGGCGGACCTCTCTGGGGAGCGCATTCCATAGGTGGGGCACCACCGCAGAGAAGGTCCTCCTCCGGGTACTCACCCTCCTTATATCTTTCACGGAGGGTTCCCGGAGAAGGACCTCCCCTGCCAATCTCAAGGGGCGGGAGGGCATATATGGACGCAAGCGTTCCTTTAGATAACCAGGTCCTAAGCCATTGAGGGCTTTATAGGTGATAACCAACACCTTGAATTGGGCCCGGACTTCAATGGGGAGCCAGTGAAGCTGACGGAGAACTGGGGTTATATGAGAATAACGCCCAGTCCCTGTCAGCAACCTGGCAGCTCTGTTTTGCACCAATAGAAGTATCCGGACCGTCTTCAAGGGCAGCCCCACGTAAAGCGCGTTACAGAAGTCTAATCAGGAAGTTACATGTGTCACTGTCGCCAGGCAATCATTCTCCAGGTAGGGATGCAGCTAATGGATCAGCCGAAGCTGAAGGAAAGCGCTCCTCACCACCACTGTCACCTGAGCTTCTAATGACAGCTCAGGGTCAAGGAGCACTCCCAAGCTGCGAACCTTGTCCCTAAGAGGGAGTGCAACCCCATTCAGGACAAGGTCCAGGTCCCCCAGCCTGAAGCCCGAACCACCTACCAACAGGACCTCCATCTTGTCTGGATTGAGCTTCAGTTTATTGGCCCTCATCCAGCCCATTACCTCGGCCAGGCACCGGTTCAGTACAGCCACCGCCTCACCTGGATTGGTTGAAAACGAGAGGTAGAGCTGGGTATATCAGCGTACTGATGATTCCGCAGTCACACCTCCTAATGACCTCTCCCAGTGGTTTCATGTAGATGTTGAATAGCAAGGGGGACAAAATGGACCCCTGTGGAACTCCGTGGCATAACTGCCATGGCGCAGAGCCATAGTCCCCCAACACCACCTTTTGGAATCGGCCATTGAGATAGGAATGGAACCACCGCAAAGCAGTGCCTCCAACTCCCAATCCCACTAGCCTATCCAGAAGGATACCATGGTTGATGGTATCGAAAGCCGCTGAGAGGTCCAGGAGAACCAACAGGAACGCACTTCCCCGTCTCTCTCCCTGTACAGGTCATCATACAGGGCAACCAAGGCAGATTCAGTACCATACACGGGTCTGAAGCCAGACTGAAATGGGTACAGATAATCAGTTTCATCCAAGAGTGCTTGGAGTTGTCCCACCACCACCCACTCTAACACCTTGCCCAAAAACGGGATGTTGGCCACTGGTCTATAACTGGCGGCCATCTCTGGATCCAGGGATGCCTTCTTTAGGATTGGCTGGACTATCGCCTCCTTTAAAGGGACAGGTACCTGGCCGTCCCTTAGAGAGGCATTGACAACCTCCAGGATCCAGGTCCCTATCCCGTCCTTGGCTTTCTTGAGTAGCCAAGATGGGCAAGGATCCAGTAAGCAGGTGGTAGAACGTACTTCTCCAAGCACCTTGTCCACATCATCAGGCCGCAACAACTGAAATTCATCCATCAATTTTGGACCAGACGGCAACATTGGCACCTCCCCCAAAGGTTCTGAGTCACTAGTGGAGTTCAGCTTGTGACAAATCTGAGCGATTTTCTCCTTGAAATGCTTGGCGAAGTCATCACAGCGGGCCGTCGAGGGTGGCACGAGATCTTTTTTTGGGCCTGGATGAACCAGCCCCTGTACCACCCGAAAGAGCTCCACCGGACGGCATTGTGAGGAGGCAATGGAAGCGGAGAATTTCTTCTTCGCTGCCCTCACTGCCACAGCATAGGCCTGATAATGGCTCTTAAGTGTGTTTGGTCAGATTCTTGCTGTGATTTCCTCCACTACACTCTAGATGTCTCCCAACCCGCTTCATCGCCCGTAGCTCGGGTGTATA